CGTTCAAGTGTTTGGATTGCGGGAAAGGCTTCTGTCAGTCGCGCACTCTGGCCGTGCACCGGATCCTCCATTTGGACGATTCGCCGCACAAGTGTCCGCAATGCGGCCGCAGCTTCAACCAGCGCTCTAACCTCAAGACGCATCTCCTCACGCACACCGACATCAAGCCCTACGAGTGTGGCGCCTGCGCAAAGGGCTTCCGCCGCAACTGCGACCTCCGCCGACACGGACAGACGCATTCGGAGGAGCCACGCGCCAACAGTAGCCGCGTTGATCAGGTGGCACTCCTCGTCGCGCGGACTCCCACTCTTGTGTCGCGCCCTTCGAATTCCTCAACAGGTTCTCCGCATCCGCTCTGAGAGAGGAGTCATGTCTAATGTGTGTAACTTAGTGTGTAATTAATAAAAACGAGTTTCCAAAGCATGAGTTGTGTTGCGTTTTGGGGGCGGCGGGGGAGTCATCATTGCAGTAAGCACTGCACCCGCTGATCCGCATTCTTAGCTTCATTCGCAGGATTAGCGTTCCTTCGCTTCAGAGATGATCCCAAGGATTACGAAACGAATGCAAAGCAGGGCTGCAATCAAAGGGAGATCGAGTCACGATCGCGCGCATCACGACTCTCTCCCACAACAAAGCACTATTAAAGTGGGGGAGACTTCCGTCCAATTACGGCTCTCTGTGCGCTATGTCTGCTGACCGAAGCCGCGACCGGCGCCACAGCGCGCACGACGAGAGGGCCGTTTGGGTCACGACGAGCGAAGAGTTTTGCTGATTATGGGTTTGCTTTTCTCTGTGGCAGTGATTCATTGGAAAGCAGTGTTTACTGTGTCTTACCTTTTGCTGCATAACTGGAGGCAAATCTGAGGGAAGTTCTCAGCAATTACTGAACGCAGAGACAAAGGCTTCCGTTTAATCACAAAAAGGGACGGCTCTTTGCTGTCTATTGTGTGCTCTGCTGTCTCCGCGGCGGACAGCGAGTGGACGGCCGGACAGTGGGCAGCGCGGACACGAGGGCAGAGGGCACGGCAAGCAGAGCACAGCCGCAGCGCACAGCCGGTAGAGCAGAGCCCAGACTAAGGGGAGGGTCGCGAGAGGCGTTTCCCGGGTCTGGAATGCGATAATTAGCGGTTGCAGTGATTATCTGGACTTTGGCTGAGTCGCGGTTACTCTTGTTGTTGTCTCGAGACCGCCAATTATGCCAACTGTGGCCGAAAGGCTTTCACACGTGATCTCAGGCTTTGTTTTGAATGCATTTGCATTGAATTAATGCGAGAAAGCATTCCTGCATTCGTTCGCTGCATTTCTCGCTCCGATTGGAGTTCCGTTTCAACACATTAGCGCATAATATGTGAGTCAAGGGGTCGAAGGTCGGTCGCGCCGGGAGGCCATTGTTGGGCAACATTCAAATCCTGTGATTGAATGCGCGCTCTGAGAGTCCTTCTGAAGAAGTCTGTGTCTGTCTCGCGAGTGACAATCAAATCCAGTAATTGATTGCAACGACTCTTATATAAGCGAAGAGACGACGCGCATTGGCTGCGCGCCAACTCGGGGGCGGAGTCTGAGGGTCTGCGAACGAGTAGCCAATTGGGAGCCTTCCTGCGACGACTTCTTCAGTTATCTTTTCGACTCAAATGGAGTTCTCTCTCAAAGGCAGTAGTTTTGGCTTAAGTTCGCAGTTCTGCTGCTGTTCTCCAATAGTTCACAACTACTACTCCTGACTACCAGTTCCTGAGCTAACAGTGCTCTCAAACAGTATTCCACAAAACAGTATTCGCCTCCGCTCTCAATGGTCTTGTCAGCGATGACCCAATCTTCGGACCACTCTTTCGGTGAGTCTTCTTATTGTCACTTCTCATCACTTTTCTCGTCCCTCTCGTCACCTCGCGCCCCCCTCCCCTCCCCTCCCCTTCACTCCCGCCGCTATCTTATCGCTCATAAGTGTTGATTACGAGTCAACTGTCGGTCTCTTTGCGCTCAAAAGACCGACAAATGAGTCAATATTTTGTCGAAAACACAACAAAACGACTTCAAAGCGAAGCCGACAAACAATGCCTTTGACTAAACGCTCGCGACTTTAATTGCCGTTAATTGGCGTCTCTTAGAGACGCGTTTCGGGGGTTTCGGGGGTTTTGCGCGACACAGAAAGCCCTCCCTTTCCTGCAGTCCATAACTCACTGCAAAAATGCCAAACATTTGCGAAAAACAAAATTAATTCCGACTCCAAGCGCTCTCCTCAGGTGTCTTGCCTCAGACTGCATGCGAGGCTCAGGCATAAGCTCGCATTAGTCGCAGACGAGGGCTACCAGTGCTCTCCAAGGAATTGCGACAAACACGACCCCCGCGTCGCTCGCATTGTTGTCTCGCGGATCAGTCTCTCGAGTCAAGTGTCTGCGAAACACGTGCACAACAATGAGACAAAACGGCGATTACGCCAACAATCAAATCAGTTCGTGAACTATAGGTTCAGTTTCGCGCAAAACTCCCACAACTCAAAGGTGTGTCTCAATAATGCAATAATGCACGCGTTATGCTATAGACCAGGATATGCCACATCTCGAGCTCTAAACCATTATTACTTGAATTTAATTTCAAACTCTTCTCTCAAAGATTCCAAACTCTCGACAATGCGTTCATCGCTCGCGACCGCAACCGCCGAACACCACATCCCGATGTTGTTGCCGCAGAACGCGCTCTTCGCGCCCCCTCTGCCCGCCGCCGCCGCCCCTCACGCCCACCACTACCCCTTCCCGCTCTTCCCGCACAACCTGCTGTTCGCGCAGACGTACGCCCACTTGGCGGCGGCGGCGGCCGCGCACCACAACCACAAGCCGCTGATCTCTCCGCCAATGGCTTTGTCGCCAATAACTGCGGACTCGAAGCCCAAAGCGAAGGCCAAAAGCAAATCCAAGTTCGACTTCTCGCGTCTCGCGGAGTCCGCCACCAAAGATGAGGTCAAAGCCCTCCCACAGCCCGCAGTCTTCCCGATGCCGGCGCCCGCCTTCTACGCGCCCTTCGGAGTGCTGCCCACCTCTGGCGCGACGGCGGACTTCTTCTCCAAGAAGTACTCGCGCGTCGGAAGAGGGAGTTCGCGGCCGAAGAAGGAGTTCATCTGCAAGTACTGTCAGCGCCGGTTCACCAAATCCTACAACCTTTTGATTCACGAGCGCACGCACACCGATGAGCGGCCCTACACGTGCGACATCTGCAACAAAGCCTTCCGGCGTCAGGACCACCTCCGCGACCACCGGTCAGTAGATTTGAATATTTGAATGACAGTTGTGAACAATAGTCGCGCGTCTCATTGTTGGCAACAAAAGGCGTTTTGTTTGCCAAACAATTAGTTTTATTGCTTTCACTGAAAGACTTTTGCGAACAATAGATATATTCACTCGAAGGAGAAGCCGTTCAAGTGTTTGGATTGCGGGAAAGGCTTCTGTCAGTCGCGCACTCTGGCCGTGCACCGGATCCTCCATTTGGACGACTCGCCGCACAAGTGTCCGCAATGCGGCC